CTGTGTAGCTCTGAAATGAAAAACAGAGTTGAGATATTAATGTTCTACGCAGGACATTAATTTAAAACATGCACAGTGCTAAAGCTTGCTATCAGCTGCTTTACAATACAGAGAAGCTTTTAAGGGAATAAAGTATGGTTAGCAGAAATGTTTCATTTTAAGTTTGATGTTTTCTCTTCACATGAAACACAAAATGGTATAGTTTATGTTCTGTTATTGTTTTGATACTGAAAAAGCTAATTTTCTTGTACTTCTGGGTGAAATGGGAGTAACTGCAGTGGTACTGGGCATTCTACATAGTCACAAAGCTAGTGGGACCAGACTGCTGTGAAGAAGCAACCCCAAAGCTGGAACTCTTTGGAGCTTTATTTGTCACCTTTTACACCACTTGATACAGAAACATCTTTGGGGCCAACTTTAGACTATTCTGCTGCTAACCTGTAGTACAAAGCACCGAGGCTACCTCAGTGTACCTTATGATCCAGTAAGAAAGGCACTCGGGATAACTGTGCCTTAAGCTATTGCTAAAAACACCATCTTCTGGAGCTAACATGAGAAACAGAAAGAATATATGTCATTTTACATCCTTTCAGATGCTGAAGCCATGCAGCATCTCACTCAGGGCGTATGGTTCAGGTCCCATCCTGTGAAAAGGTTCCCTAACATTTTGGTTTTGAGACCTCTTATAGAATTTTCTTAGACAAAAAATAATGTATTCATCATAACTGTTGTCAAACAACAGTATGTTCACATGAGAACTTGCTGCTCTTCCTTAAGATAATGCCAAGGCCACACAGGTGGTGTAATTGGAAACACAGAGTGGGAGCTGCCTGTGGGCTCCTCTGTTACCATCACCCTGCTGAGTTTATCCTGAAGGACAAGCCGTACACGAAGCACAGGGCAGCACAGCCTGCTCGGGTTGACATTCCTCGTGGATTGTTAACTCTGTGATGCACAATAGGATTGCTACAACCCCGAAGGGGAACATCTTGCAGCTGTTCAAAGCTTTAGGCTTTGCTTCCCTGCTGTGGGCATCAGCTGGTGCTTTGTGTCACACTGGTAGGTTCCACTGCTCCCTGAAGTGAGCTCTGCCTCTGTCTCACACATGAGACAGAGTGGCAAAGGATTATTTCTGGAGGGTCCCTGTATTATCTAGCATGAGGGCAATGGGATTTGCAGGCAGGCTGTGCTCTAAGGTAACTGGGATAATAAAGATGCAGAGTGCATCAGGCTTCCCACAGCATCAACCACACCATGTACAACACAGCTGCAAGCACAGAAGACAGAAGCAAGAACCCAGATGTAGAAGGAACAAGATGCTTATGGCTCTATCTGGGACGTAGTTCAAATGCCCAGTACAGACAGTGCAAAGTGATCTATCACCCTGTATGTGGAGAGTTGGTGGCCCAAGACTATGTCTTGGTCTTGTCTGTATGCCTTGGCCAACAACTCCTGAGCCCTGCACCTATGTTTTACTTCTTGACCATTTTTATGATTTTGGAGGTACGGAAAAACACCAAAACTCAAGATAGTCTATGTATTATTAAGTAATGTGAAATTAATTTCACATGGTAGGACAATTAGAACACACTGCAGCCAGGGGACCATTCACAACCCAAGGAATGATAGCCATGTGAAAGAAGTCATGTTTTCTACTTCGTTGGTACTTTAAGACCATACAACAAAGTCCTGATGGGACTTTGAAGGTCACTGAGTTCAGACACTGCTCTTAATGTCAAGGAGAATTCATAATTCTCTTTAGAAACTTTCTGACTCTAAGACTGCTCCCACAGCACATTTTCCAGGGCATTATGCAGCTTTGCATCAAATTTGCTATTCAAGGGGATTTCCATTGTTGCTCTGCCATAAAGCCGACCTCAGAAGAGTCTGTGCCACACATGGACCTGCTGTGTGGTTGCTCAATGCATTGGTCTGGAAAGACTTGTCAAATATTGAATGTGACCTGGCCAAAGTCATTGTAACTGTGACCAACCTGCCTGAATGGGTTTTCCTATATGAGTGCCATGTTGTAATTCAATGTGAGACTTAGAGGAGCAAGGCTGGGAAGCTGCAACAGTCTTCCAGGAACTATTTCTCATCTTATATTTGCACTTAATTGTAAGACTGTGATTGTTTTATTGTCAGTGAAGATGCTACTCCCAGGCTGCAGGCCAATAACTATCTAGGCCAAGCTGAAAGCCCAGGGATTAAAGCATGCTACGGACCCAAAATACTTCAAAAGGTGAAGAGAGAAGGGGATGACTGAGAGCGGTTTGATTTGTGGGCAGAGGGATCCATGCCCCAGATTGTGAACTGAAGCCTGTGCAGAGCTTGCTGTGTAAAAACTGGGAATTAACAGTGATTTTCAGAGAGAAAGCAGGAACCAGTGCCTGTTCCCACAACATGAAATAAGACCCTTTAGCTGAAAAAAGCACCAAAGCTGGACAACATTTGAAGCAAAGACTGCAAAAAGGAGAAAGATCTAAGGAACTAGGAAAGACAGACAAGACAAGAGACAAAGGGCTTTAACACTATCTTTTCCAGAGGCACAGAGGAAGGAAGCATTCCTGCCAAGTCAGGAATTGCTCTGACTTCTCTGTCTTCCTAGAAATCATCAGTAAGACAGTGATTACTGCAAGAAGCCCTAGGAGTCCACTCAGGAAGGCTTCAGCTTCCTCTCAAACACAAAGGGAAGCTCAGAAGCAAATGACTAATGGCCCAAAGCTTTATTTGATTTGCTGCTACAATTAAGTTGTGGTTGGCAAAGCTCACTAGCCTCCCTCAGGTACTAATCCATACTGGGCTGTTTGAAAGAGTTCCTGAGAAACTGGAGCTTAGATAAACTCATTAAAAGCATTTGAGAGGCCTTTCAGCTACATTAATGCATGATATGACTAGCGAGGATAGCCATATGCTGCTAATATATAAAAATATGAATAAGTCATCTGTTGGCTAGCTGAGGTTCCTAAGTTATGTCTAAGTGGAATAAAGATATGATGGGTATTTGGATATAAAGAATGCTTACAGACTGAAGATGAATTTGGTAATCCCATCAAAACAAAAAGGTAAGGACTGTTTAAAGTTCCACTTAGGCTAATATTTGATTTCAAAGGCTGGCAACTAGACCAATTTCTTTTCAGAAATTAAAACTTGGCATAAAAATATTTAAATAATTGCCTCCAACTGAAGTGCTCCGTGTGCAAACCTGGGGGTTAGAAATTAAAGAAAGATAAGAACACAGACACACAGCATAATCTTCTGTTCCCCTGACTTGCCTTCTGTTCCCCTGACTTGCCTTTGCCCGCACCTGTAGCTGTGACAGATCCACTATAGTAACTATCTGCTTACAACCCTGTTGCTGCAAGGACATGGAGCCCCTCCGATCTAAAAGGAAAAACAGTGTGCCATGAACAATGGATCAAACACAGGTAACATTTTTCACCTTCAGATATACCACTTGCCCCTTATGGTAAAATCCTTTTTGGGGGTTCTGAGTGAATTGGTTTAAAAGTAAATGTGAGAAAAGTGTGAAGTAAAAATACAGCACTTTAATGCAGATTGGATCACAAGAACTGCAAAAAACCAATTCTGGCATAAGACCCCGCTTGATATATCCAAATTTTGGATCATAATTTCTACATTTCAATCCCTGGAGAGCATCTCAAGAAGGAACATCACTGCCACACAGACAGTTTTGACAAAATTCTCTTTTATTTGGTCTTACAAATCTGCAACAAGGGAAATTATGAAATTTCTGGGCCATTGCAATTCTGGCATCTAACCTAAATCTCATGCTGAGGTTTCAGCTGTTGTAGTTCTTGCTCTTTTTTCTTCACTGCAGACTTTCAGAGGGCTCATATGCCACACAGGCTATATTCCTGTTTGTTCCTGCTCAGACAGCTACGATCCTGGTGAATCATGCTCAGGCTGAGGTTCACTGTAACCTCCTGATTCTTCTTCACAGAGCTGCTACCTTGCTGTTCCCCATCCTGCATTTCTGCATCCACTGGCTCTGACCTTGCACTTGTGCTTCAGGAGCACCTTGATTTTCCCAAACATTTCTCCAGTTTGTCAAGATCATTTCAGAAACCTAATCGTGTTCCCTAGAATGGCCACAGCCTTCCCACAAACTGAGCACACGTGCTCAGTTTGCACGTATCACTATCCACATCACCGGTGACAAACTTTGCTGGTTTGAGTGAATCAACCGCTGTTTCCCGTGCTGTCAGCCGTGCAACAGCATAGCCAGGTCGGCACCTAGCTGTCCCTCGGCTTGGATTTATCACGGGAGTCAAACCCACCCTTAAACGAACTAAAAACTCCTTTTTCTCTCGCGTCCTTTACAAAGAGAGACTTTGATAAAGTCCGAGCCCAGCTGTTCGCCCAGAGCCGCTGCTGTCGCTCGCACATCCATCCCATCCTTGCGCTCCGCGCGTTCGGAGCGCAGCCGGTGCGCGGCCGCACGGCTCCGGGCCCTGGCGGCCCTGGCGGCCGGCGCTCCGCGGGCGCTGCGCGGGGC